GCAGCAGCGCCGCGCGCAGGACGTGCAGGCACAGGCACAGGCACAGGCATAGACTGCACAAGCGGCTGCGGCTGCGGCAGGCGCGCGCGCGCGCATGCGCGCGGGGCGCGACGACGGGCATCGCTGGCGAGAAGCAGGCGCGGGACGGTGGGCGCGCGCGGCGCGCGAGATGCTCGGCAGGCCGGACGACGAACAGTGAGAACGGCTGGACACTCGGCAGGCGCGGGCGGCTGGCATCGAAGGCAGTGCGGTGCGGGGGATGGGGCGGGCCAGAGGGAGGTTTGTTCTGTGCGTGGGCTGTACTGGCTGGCCCGAGGTGCGCAAGATGTGTGTGCGATGCGGATCGCGTGGGGGGGGGCTGCTGGCAGGGAAGGAAGCGTAGACGTTGTATTCGGTGTGGGTCTGGGCGTGAGGGAGGTTCGACGGGTAGCGAGAAGCGGAGTACCATACTACGGGGATTCAGTCGGTAGCAGCGTGCGCTGGGGTGTGGGGCCGCTCACAGGTGTTGTGCGTTGACGCGTAGAGCGCGGGCTAGACCGCACGGCGCAGCGTGGTACGCGCATGGCAGCGTCTAGCGGTGGCGGCGCGGCGGGCAGGCGCTCACAGGCAGGTGATGTGGCAGGTGAGGCGCGACGAGGACGGCAGCGCGAGGGTGTGCGCGGCTGGCAGTGGCGTGTGATGTTCGGCAGCGCGCGCGCGGAGGAGGAAGGGGGCGAACGGTTCGACTGCGGGGATGATGTGATGAATAAACGATGCGCGCTTCGCAGTGGGCCGAAGAGGAAACAGGACTCGAACCGTTGCCGCGTTTGCCGCGTTGCCGCGCGCGCGTTTCCGGGAAGGGAAAGGACAGGCTGTGCTCGGGCGGGGTGGCGTGGCTGGTTTTCAACGCGCGCCCGCCGGGCTTGTTAAGCGGCACGCCCTCCGTGCAGGCACGCGAAGACGGGCTCTGGATGCGGCGAGGAGGCGGGTTGGCTGGGGGGCGGGGGGGGGGGGCGCAAAACCAAAGGGTCCCAAAACCAGGCTGCGGGAAACCGCCACCTGGTTTCCCCGGGATGGAGGGGACCCGGTGCCCA